TAAATAATAAAAGGAACTCGAGCTGTTGGTACGACGCACAAGTTGATTGAATAAATCACAGCAGGTAGACTGTAGCATCTCCTCCAGAGTCTTATCAAAGGCAACAGCAATGGGCGCCACAAGCGAAGGCTTCACATTTAGCTGAGTGGCATGCAAAATGTGTGCTCAAGTCCAGGCTGAGCTGACTGACGCGTTCGCTGTAAACTTTTTACAGCCCGGCAACAATTTGGCCAAGTAGCTCTAGAGCAGACGTTGTTAAACACGGCCAGTCGCTTCATCCGCTGCTGCTGCTCCTACTGCTCCGGCTGCTGCTATTGAAGCTGCTGCTTTTCATGCCTCATTATCGCAAAAGTGTGCAACAATTTCGTTCCGGCTGCAAGCATGAATTCAGTGCTCGTGTCGAGCGTAGGCGAACAAAAATTCAATTAGTTTACATTTGTACTCAAACCAAAAATTTGTACTTTGTTGCGCGCTCCTCTATACGGCAACAACAACATCATCACTTAACAGCTAAAGCTGAGCTATCTGAGGAATTTCCATTGTTCGAGCCTCGGAAAGCTTATTTGCTGTTGACCAGCGCGTCGTATACACAATTTAAAAGTGCGTATTATACAAAATAACAATAAAAATTTCGTTTAAAAGTACTGCTAGAAGAATTCGTTTCAATGTGATATGAAAATCAATTTTTTACTCAATTTGTTGTCAACAATTCCTGTGAAATTATTGCCGCTGGCCCACCTGCCGTATGCGCAATTTCAATTTACATGTACATATAGCAAAAGAGAGAGAGAGAGAGAGTAGGAGATACAATGCTAGAGGGAGTGTGTGAGAGAGAGGGAGGGAGAGAGCTGTTGCTTTGTATTTATTGCCAGCTGCAAAAATATTTGTAGAGCTTTATTCATCAAAGTGAAAAGCCCCGCTGCGCCTCACACAGCCGATGGCCTTGCACTTTATGCAGCAAACTTTTTAATTAATTGCACCGGCCATTTTCGGCCATACACAGGCTAGTCTTTAATTGCAAATGAAGCCGAGCTAGACGAAGGGCCAAGGGTAGTTGGGTGGCTGGCTGCAGTGCCAATGGCTTTCACATTGGACCCGTTCGACCACACGAACACGGCTAATTTGCACCGAGCGCGTGGTCACAACAGTCCGCGCAGCGAGTCAATCAGTAAGTCATTTGTATGCGTGTGTAGCCTGGGGGGCTCGGCGTGTGGACGGGAGATCGGCGAGTGGCTTCACGCAGGTGGAAGGGGCTGTTCAGCAGTCAGAGGCAACAGTCACGCGCCTCGCCTCATGTTCGCTAATTTATGCGATGCGGCAGCCGCAGGCGACGGCCGCGCTGCAAAAAGTTTGCCATCTGACACGGGACAAAACGCGAGAGATCGCAATGAAGTGTCAGCTCTGGCTGCCCTTTTAAGTCCGCCCCCACTTCCTGTGAAACCCATGCCAGTTGACAGCAACGCCCTGCTTGTTTTTGTTTAAACTTTGTTCGATGCCTCGATACTTCACCTCTCAGCCCGGCAACGCCCACTGCACAGTTCATAGTTCGCCTTTCGCATTTCCCTCTACTCGACAATAGCTAAAAGTTTCCCTTCATTTTTTTTCAGTTTAAGCTACTGTAAAAAACAATTTGTCATAAAAAAGAAAAATAATAATAATAGAAAACAAAAAGCTAAAAGGTGACATTATGACAGCGAAAATGGGATAAAACGCAATTTAATTTCTATCAAAAACTTTACTATCTCAAGCCAGGACTTATAAATAACTAGAGCTAAACAAAGAATTAGATGCATTTATTTCAAATTATTCCACACTTTTGTAACAAAAAGCTTAGCTTTAAGATCCATAAGGTGGATATCAAAAAACAAAAATTGTGTGTGATCATCCTCGGCTATAAATAAAACTTGCTTTCTTTCCCCCGATATAAAACGATTTACATCGCTTTTCTCTCTAAGTTCTAACATTTCTTTGCTCAAACCCAACTTTCGGACTTTTCGAACTTAACTAACCCTAATAAAAGTTTTTGACAAATTTGCGCTTTTCGCCAGCCTTTCGTTAACTTTCTAATGCAATTTTACTAAATATTTTTGCACTGATTTCGGCTGAAGGCCATGCACGAAAATAGTTCGAATTGATGCCCTCGTATACTGTTTTCCCAAGTGCCGGGGTAGTCCCACAAAAACTTCTTGAGGCGCCAAATTGAGTTAAGCGATTGAAACTGTCTGGCAACGCCCTCACACATCAGCAAATTCAATTTGAGGTAAAGCGACAGCCACTTTAAGTTTGTTACCCAATAAACACACGTACACAACACACACACACACACGTATATTTGCAGTTGTGCAATGTGCACATCAAACTACAATAACAATTAGCATTAACACACATTGATGAGCTCAGCTGTTTTGCCATTGGTTAAGTATTTTATTTGGTAAGGATTTCTGTTATTTTATTTTTCTTGCGGCTGTATCTCGTAAAAATACAAGCAAACTTAATTAGGCTCACGATTGCAGCGACTTAAACCAGCATCAATTGTTTTTGCTGTTGCTGTTATATGTACATATGTAGGTGCGTGTGTGTGTGTGTGCATGTGCGTGTGTAATGCGGTTTACCCTCATGGCTTAAGCGGTATACGCATTGGTCTTGTTTATTTCTTGTCCGCAGTTAACGCACATGCGGGTTACCCTGCTAAATGTTTAACTGTAATTAACACACACACACACACAAACACTTCGGGACGAAAATAATTGTATTCCGTGTATGTGTATTGGTTAACTGTTAAGATTTAATTAAATGTTTCCGCAACTCTGTAAAAATATCACTGGTTTGGTATTTATATTTAAAAGCTTTGCGGCAATAATTAATGTGACCAGAGCGGTGAAAACAGAAAGATCGTGCAACCATCGCGTTGCAACGGTCAGTCCAACTGCAAATACCAGCCAATTAAAAAATATATCATTGTATTATACAATTTCTATGTTTATAAATATTAAGAAAAGGATGCGAAAGAATTTATTGTGATACCATTGCTGAGAAGAATAAAGTCAACCGATAATGCCAGTGCATCTTTAGTATTTATTTATAAAATACTAGTCTGTAAGCCAATTATTTCATATCTTTCAAAGATTTGTTAGCACAAAACCGTGTTAGGAAACAAAAACTACATATGTATATAAAATCTAAAAATAAAATTCGCATTTAAATATTCCAGTGAAATCTGACGGCCTTCAATAATATTTGCGTATATCTAAAAAGTTATGTTATCATTTTCGGTGGAAACTTGAAAAGTTTGCTCATTAAAATTGCATTTGGTGCCTGCGTAAACAAAAACGTTATTTAAAGTAGCCTTTAGCGCAGGTGCTTGCTTATATTTACAAAAAGTGTCCTTGCAATGACTATAAAGGCTGAGCACAATTGATTAATCCGGCATATGGTCTATCTGCACGCCGGCCAACTAGCAGGAATTAAAGTTAGAGCCCTTGGCAGTCCTTGTTATACAAATAGGTCATTTGCTAGTCAATTAAGGATATCTGCTAAATATTTTATTACCAAGAGGAGGCGAAGCTGGCGCGTCGCGACGTTAGCCCTGATTAGTCGTGAAGAGAGAGTATGGCGGGCGCATAACTAATTGAAAACTTGCAAAACTTTTGTTCATTAATAATAAGCCAGAACAGAACACAGCCGAAACAGGACGAAAGCGAAGGGTCTTGCCATGCTCGATGCCCCAATGCCCCATGCTCCACACTCGGTGTTTGCCAAGTATCCGAGTTGAGAAGTCTTTGTCTGGTTTGATTTGTTGGAAATGATTTAATTACTTATTGCAAAGCGCTCAAAAGCTATTATTAAGTTGAATGCCCGTTGGCCGCACTAAACACGCGTATTAGATTAATGTTGTGATTACTCAAGTGCCACGCCCACAAACCGCCCGCGGCCCGCACGGCCCACACGGCCCGCCCATCACAATGTTAGCTGTGTTCTGAAGCGTTAACGAGCCCATCCTAGCATATTTCATATTTTTCCCGTACTTTTCTCGAGCTTGGCCCGTTGTACGGCTTCCGGCAGGCATCGAATGCAGACGAATCCTGTCGAAGGGGATTTCGGGGCTGGACCTGGACTGGGGGCAGGCATTGAATTATGCATATTTCACTGCACAAAACGGCAACGAGTGCGGCAACAGTGGCAATTTATTCATTTTTGCAGACGTCAAGCCAAGAAAAGTGAAACTGAATGATTGAATGCCGTTATGAAAGGAAAATAAATTAGCTTTTCTATATCAAAGAAAATTCATTTCATATTTTTCAATTGCGAAATATAGTCCTTATGTAATTTTGTCATTCTCTCTCTGTCGGTTAACATTTATGGATATTTGTCAAACAATTTAATCAAAATATTATCATGCCCTTAACACACAAATACAAATATTAAAATAAAAATTGTTAAAGCGTGCAAATGCAAAGTGGTTCAAAGATATGCTAAACGGATCGCAAATGTTGTGTAAAATATTGAAATGATGCTCGGGCTCGAGTGCTGAAAGGCATATAAAGAATATATACACATACATATGTATAAATATATATCTATTTAAATGACATACACACCCACACGCACATAAATATTGTAATGAAGCCGTATGGATGTGTTGCTAATAGAAAACGGAAAATTGTTTGGTAGCGGCGGCTGTTAACTATATACACATACATATATATAGTATGTATATATATATAGTGCTCCAGTTTTCTGATTAGTTGCAGCAGGAAGAGCATTTTCACTGCATCAGAGTTTTGTCGAGTTCAATGCAATTAAATCAATTGCGTTACGTATACGCAACGTGGCGGGTGCTAGCCATAACTGGCCATGGACCGTTAGAGGGGCAACAGTGGCAGCAGCAGAAACAGAAGCAGTCGCTGCAGCTGATGGAGGCAATTTCCAGTTAACGAAGCCCTTAGCATAATTCAATTATTGCACAAGTTTGGAATAAATTGCATAAATTGCATAAACAATTTACAAACAAAAATTACATTTTTAATTGGAAGATTGCGCAGCACTTATAAATGGCAGAGGACATGCATTACCGACGCTCCACGCGGCACAGCGGATATTCCTTGAGTTTCAGTGAGATGTTGCCCTTGACCAGCAGCTGCTCCAGCCGTGCAGCAGTGCTGATGCGATAACAGCGAAAGATCTTGGCCAGCAGCAGCTTCATCAGCAACAGCGCATAGCGATAGCCGATGCACATGCGCAGTCCCTTGGTGAAGGGCACAAAGGCGAAGGCGTGACGTGTGGGCGCATCGGGGCCGAAATGCGCCTCCGGATTGTAGGTTCTGGCCAGAGGACCCCAAACGCGCACATCTCGCTGCATATTGTAGATGTCGATGCCGATCTGCGTGCCGCTCGGTATGAGGTAGACGCCATCGTCGCGCTTCAGCTCCAAGTCCTGTCCAGCACGTCGCAGCACCATGGGCACGGGCGCAAACAGACGCATCGACTCGTTGATGGCCATCTCGGTGTAGCTCAGTCGCTCCAGCTGCTCTATGCTAATGTCTCCGTGTTCCGGCAGCTCCGCGCAGAGTTCGTCGTGCAGCTTCTCCTGATACTCCGGATGCATTGCCAGGCAGAGAATGGTGAAGTACAAGGCCGTCGAGGTAGTCTCGAATGTCTATAGCATTAAAATTGATTAGACTTGATCTGGTTGCTATGATTGAGTACTTGATTGATTAATGTTTAACTGCTTTATTGAGTGACTGACTGCAATCCACAACTCTGAGCATTATTTAATCGACAATCGATACTCTTTATTGAATTTATTTATATACCAATTGACTGATGAATGACAATATATATCCCATAATACCCTAGTAATAGATTTTTTTAACTACTGGATTGATTGATCAACTGATTGATTATAGATAATGTTTGCTGGTAGCCCACAAAAAAATGGTAGTAGATCCATCATACGCTTTTTAATTGTGTTAATGCCTGCTATAGACTTTAGGCTCTAGTTTGAACATTCTTTTATTAGGTTTGTATAATAGATCTTTCAGTCTTTGATTGATTGATCGTCAAACTCAATGCAAACTTCTTCAATACAATGCAAACTTTTATTCAACATAAATAAAAAGCCTCTACTCCATTTTAGTTTATCTCAAATTAATGCCATCCAAACTCACATCAGCTAATTGAAACTTTTTACTAACTGATTAGATGCAATATTTTCCAACATTTTCCCCAATTTCCAATTGAGTGAAGGTCCAATATGACTCCAAAGTAAATACGTTCTTAGCTCACGCCGTACAGACTTTAATAATATAACACACTGTGTATTCCCCCTTTAAAGCAATGCTAGTAATACTCATTCCCCAGCTAACATCAATGGCATGCCTATCATCCATATAATTGCCTTCATATGTATTATAGACGCTACTCACCGCCGCAATAATTACATTTGCCTCGTCTCGCACATCCTGCCAGCTCATTTGCTGGCCTCGTTCCACATGCTCCCGCACCTGTTCAATGAATATCGACTTGGACTTGATGCGACGCTGCTGCTGTTGCTGTCGTTGATGCTGATGCTGATGCTGTTCCTCCTCCAGCTGCTTGCTGGCATCAGCATCTTCCACGCCCACTACAGATACAGCTGGCTGCAGCAGCTGTGGCGTTTGACGAGACGCCATGGGAAAGGGAAAGCAAGTCATGAGCAGGCAGCAAGCGACTGGAAGGCGGTCAGATTCTGGGCCACGCCCACTAACATACCTGCTCCACAAAGCCAAACAGCACGCCAACGACCTTCTGTTGCCGGTCAAAAAGTCGCGACCATCGATAGATGAGCTCCGGATAGAGCCAGGGGGACAGCATGCGCTTCACACACACCTCCGTAATCCTGCAAGCAAAAGGGAGGGATGCAGAGTGCTAGAAGTTAAGTTACACTTGGTGAAATCAGCAGTCAGCAAAGAAATTTAAATACAATTAACTCGAATTTGTAAATAGAATACATGAATTTCTAATGTCCTATTTTCTTCTAACTATACTTACTGGAGGCGTACGCTATTTTTGGAAGAATCATAGGCACCATTTAACTCAAGACTTGTTATTCAGGTTTTCGAATTTTCTGCTCTGCTAGTAAGAAATTTTCAAGGTTAAAATAAAAATATATCTATTCAGACAATAAAGCCCACAAGTTTTCGCCAAGTGTAGCGGCGGGTGAATTAGAATACTCCCACCAGCGAACAGCAGCGGAAACGCAAAGAGAACGCCAACTCATGTCGCAAGGTATTAGCCATGGCTGAATGGCTAGCGAAGCTGAAAGATTGTAATTAGCTAATAGGTAAAAACCAGGCAGCGGAGCTCTTCAGCCCCAGATAATATCTCTGACAAAACCAAGCCACTACCTGAAGCACTCACAGTCTGCGAAAGAGTTTTCAAAAGCAATCGAGCGTATGGCTTGAATAAGAGGCTTATAAAATAGATGCTTAGTTTGTGCACTGAATTAAGTGAAATGGGAACAGCCTCGAATATCTTCATTTCTTTGTATACTAATGCGTAAATAGAATGTGTCGATATAATATTTTCCTTAACAGCAACTTAGACAAAGGAGGCACGTACTTCTGCATGAAGAGTGTTGTTGTCTATCTATTTCATAAAATCATATATTATTATTGCTTTATTTATATACACAGCTTGTACATATCTTTCATATCATAGAGACGGTAAGATCTCATCTTCCTTTCAGCATCTTTTGTTAGCACAGCTCATAGCTAACTCTATTCAATTTACAATACATTTTTCCAATAACTTACCCACTATATGCCTCAAAGATGGCCTTGGAGCCATCGTGCTGAAAATTCATCCTCTTGCCCATTGTTGTCTCTGTTTCAAGGTAAAGTCAAGGCCCACATTAATCTCATGTATTCATTCTTAATAATTCCACTTGTACTTACGACACGCAGCCTCCAATACAATTTTCTTGAGTATTTCATAGATCTCGAGACTTTTGCCGCTCTGCACACCCTCCACATCGAGTTTCTCGAGCAATACATCCGCCTCGGCATTGAAAATGGGCAGAAAATTGCATAAGATCTGACGACCAAAGGCGGGATTGATGAGTCGACGATGCTTTTGCCAGCGTGGAGCTGTGAATTAAATTATGGAACCGTTATAAAGTCTGATAAATTTAACATAAACTACAAGGTGGAATAGAACTTCAGTTAAGCATTACTGAAATAATTTCCTAGACTGAGTATATTTCTTAAGATTGAACGTATTTCTTGAATTCCATGTCCTTTTTATTTAAGTTCTTTAAAAAATCAAAGTAAAATAAACAATGTATAGCTGAAAATCCTGAAGTTTCGAGTGACTTTCATTGATTTTCAGTTTCTTTTTTAACGGTGTACTCACAGCTGGATGTGAAGAGTCCATCGCCAATGGCCGAGCTCATGAAGCGATAGAAATCGCCCTTGTTGGTGCAGTGCGTCGAATTAAAGATTTGCTCCACGGTCTGTGGGTCGTTGACATAGAGAAAACAATTGGTGCCCATCCAGGAGATGAAGGGCGCCTTGTACTTATGCGAGAGTCCATCCATGTACTGCAGAAAGGCTGCAGGCAAACTATAAATAACTGCAGCTCCCAGATGGAGATCTGGCATCACTCACTCTGCGGATTCATCATTTGCAGGCCCATGCCGATGAAGGGCCAGCCCACAGGCCCAGGCAGCTGCCAGGCCGCCTTGTAGTATCGTCTGCGACTCCACAGAAAATAGAGCCACAACAGAGCCAGCCAGCTGACCAGAATGATGCAGGCCAGCATGTCGTTGAACTGCCAAGAGCCAGCAATCGGGTCGAATCGTATCGAATTGAATTGAATTAAATAAAAAATATGTTAAGCGTAAGACGCTCCAAGTAATACTGTGGCTCCGGGCCTATGGCAGCTCGGCCCATTGAGATTTGTATATGTAGTCGAAGAGATTACGCACTTGGGCTCTCTAATGCGCCGATATCTATGCCCACCGCGTGCCGGACTCTACGCAAATGGATACATTGCTATGCGGGTCGCGTACATCCAGTCGATAATATGCCATGGGCACTCCACAAACCGGTAAAACATGACACTCGAAACAATTCTGTCTTGGGCTCGAGAATACAACACGAAATGTCGCATAAGCAAATGTTAAAGGTGAATGTAATTAGGCAAATCTCCAGATAGTGCATAATTAATTAGTAGAGGTTTTAAAATACTGAATTTATTTATACTTAGACAAGCGATGTTTATAATTAGTTAAATCTAAGCTAAATGTAGAGAATTTGATTTCCATTTCAATATATGTACATATTTGAGGCCAGAGAGAAGTCTAAGCAGTTATTGAGGTATTAAATGATTGAAATGAAATAATTAAAAATCAAATGAATCGAATAAAATAATAAGTCAATTTTAAAGGTAACAACTTTTTAGACCAACCTCGCAGAACGATATAAACTAGATTTCATGATATGTGTATATGTGCTTTTGATGCATAGACAGTCGTAGTCAAAAGTATTCAAACAACAAACAGGATTTACGTTTGTTAACCAAATAATTTAAGTGAATATTTTAAATTAATTTTTAACATATATATAGTTCTATAATAAATATATAAAAAATGTATATCATCTTAATGAGAAGTGACCCAACTTACCACGAAAACCAATAAGCCCCATTGGCACTAATTGTAGGGCATCAGCAATTCAAAAAGCATTGCATGCTATGGGCTGATTTTGATTTGACTAATTGGTTAATTAATGGTTCGACAGTATCTATTTAAAATATGGGTGTCAGCTACATTAAAAAGTCGCGGCTCGCCATTGTTTAGAGTTTTCAAATATATTATTTATTCACTATTCCATTTGTTGCTTTATACAAATTCTTCGAGTTAAGTTTAATAATTTGTTTTATAATTTGTTTTCCGTGCGTGCACGTTTACTCATTCCATAATTAGTATTAATTATTGTTAATTACTTTATTAATGTTTAATGTTCTCTTGTGGTGTTTTGTTTTCACTTTATTTGGATTTGTCTCGAGTCGAGTGGAGAGAGTTATAAGCGGATTAATTTTGTATAGTTAGTTTGTTGTTTAGTTGCTTAAACTTAGTGCAATAACTCTGATTGGGGTTCCGTAGAGACCCATTTAATAAGTTTAAGCCCATCTCCGTCCTCTAGGATGCATACTGTAAACGTATTTATATATAGAATACATATATGTATATATGTATATCATATATCGAGCTTCGCTTAATTCTTAGGCAGACAGCACAGTTTGAGCCGACTCTTGAGGATAAGCTGAGTATATTTAAAAATTGTATGCGAATATTTTCTTTTCATTTTTTCATGGACGTTGCGTTTTTCACTTAGAGTTATCATTTTTAGAGGATTTTCCTTTTGTTTAAATTAAGCAAGTATTAGTTAAAAGGCCATGGGATCATTTGAAAGCCAATTAATATTTAAGAGAGCTCTTCTTCTTCCATGCCCTTACTGTGTGAACTGATTTGACAGCATAGTACTATATCTATATATGTATCTACTATTTATATATTTATATATATATACGTGTGTGTATTTTTATACGTTAGCAATTAAATATATCTATCATCGTATTTGTAGTATATGCCTATATACACATTCAATAATTTGATAATTTAAACAAATTATAAACGTTTTATTGTCAACAAAAATATGACGACTTGCGACCCAACGATTGCATTAGCTCAGTTATTAACAACATGCTCACTAACTGCAATTGCCGTTAATCATTTCATTCATTTAGTTAGCTCACCATTTTAAAAGTACAATAGATAGACACACACAGATGCATCGCATCGCTTGATGCTGCAAATTGATATTAGGCATCAACTACGATTCTACGGCAGGGAAAGGTGAAATTACGAATACTCTATTAGTTTATATATGTATATTAATATATATTTAGTGATAGTTTATCCTAGTTGCAATTATGATTTGTTTTTGCCTTATGCACACCCTTTTCACTTTGAATTCTCATTCCATTCGATACAAGGTCAGCTTAAATTAGTGAAAATCCACTAGAGATCAAATTCGTTTTCATCTGCAGAGGCAGGGAAACCGTGTGCCGATCCATCGAGTAATTGTGGCAAGGGTATACAAACTTCGGCTCGCCGAATTTACATACTATTACATATTTAAATATGCATCGCTTTTAAAATAAACCTCTGTGAGCCTGTGCAAATTAAATTGCAAAGCATTTCTTGTTATCCTTTCGCGCGTGATACAAAAATATTTGTGTTTTTATTATTCAACTATGCTGCTAGTTGTTGTTGTTGCGGCTTAATGCGCATTAATATGCGTTTATTATATGCAGCAACAAAAATGTAACGAATAAAAAACTGTAAATAAATTTATATGCATTGCTTACATACATACATACATAAATATGCTGCGGGCGCACACAATTGTTTGCTTTATTTTTATGGATTACTAATTACTCTCTTTGTTTTTTGGACGCTGTGTGTAGCTGTAGTTTTTCTTGTTCTTTCTACACTCTCTTCGTTATGCATATTCTATAAATATATAGTTTATGTATATGGTTACAAAATAAACTTTTGCATTTCCTTTCACATTGGCGCTTGCATAAATATTAATCGAAAAGACATTGGCAAATTCATATTTTGCTTTTTGTTATTTTTGTTGAGACGGGAGCTTAGACGGTGCAATTACATGTGTGTTTATGCGTGTGCATGTGTGTGTGTGTGCACATGTGTTTGTGTAGAGGAGTGTGGCATGGCCTTGTGTATAAGCGTGGTGTGTGTAAGCTTGGCTAAGGTATTTCATAAAAACTAATTGCCGCGTATTACATATTATTTAATTAAATTGTTTATGTATTCAGTTGATATCGCTTTTTGTTTTGTTTTTATACTTAGGCACAATACATTTATTTTGTTTTGTTTATATATTTCACAAGCTGCAATTGTATTTTGTTTTATTTTTTTGTTTTCTTTTTACTAAATATTTTTTAAGTCTTACAAACTAAATTCTACGCATAAAAACTTGTGTAGTTGTCGGTTTGCATGTGTGTGTTGATTTGTTTTTAATTATTATTATAATTATATTTTATTGAAATAATTTTGTATCGATTTGCAAAATTTTCTCTACAATTTATAAAAAATGCAGCCACTTGGCAAATATTTAAAGCTTTTACATAAATTGCATACGCAAAACAAATGTTCATTAAATATTTCGTTATCGAAAAAAATAAAATGTAATTCATAAATTATATATTGAATGTTGCATTTTCTTATTGTTTATGGCTATTTTGTAGTTGGCATTTCATTCATTCATATAGTTTGCTTTATAGGTAACAATTTCCATTCACTTTGCGTGTGTAAAATCTTTACAAATATTGCTTTTCATTTTTGCCAGTTTTGCAGTTAACAATTAAAAACAGAAGCCATCAATTCATCAAATGCTAGCTCCCCTAATTTAAAGAGAAAAGGCATTGGTTTATGTTTCGCTACAATACAAAAACAAAAACACTTCTCCTTCTAGACAGTACTCACAAAATACAAAATATATATACGCACTTTACAGATTTGTTTTTTTTTTTTTTCCTTTTACTCTTTTTTTATACGCTGTAGTTTTTGTTTTGACTTTAACAAAATACGCGCTACGTTTACTACGACTGCTACAAAGTAGACAACAATATTTGTTTTTTTTTTTTTTTAGTGTTAATAATTTGCCTTTGTTGCTACTGGTTTTTGCTTAGTTAATTTATGACTTTAGTTTGACTCGCTTCAGATTAACTTTCTGCGGGCTGGTTGGTTGTAAACTGCGTAATGCCATCGCTTTCCATAGACTCGAGAACATCAGCCACATAAGCGGCGACATCAGTGTGACTATTCTCGCCTCTCCGAATGAATGGCATCTGCAGCAGTCGGCTATATTTGGGTCTATCGCTCTCCTTCTTGATCAGGCTACGAAAGTTAATTGGAATAAGTATTTTGACAATCTGCTGGGTATATTCGGCTCTTACCAAGTGTTAACAAACTCTACAAACTCCATTGAGAATTCCATGCCATTGTAGGATGTATGCAAACGCGGCGGATCACCCTGCACAACCTACAAGAAATATGGATTATGACATCAAGTGATAAACCTTTTCAAATGACGAATAAATACCTGACACAACTGCTCAAACACCGAATCCCATTTGCGATAAGGGAAATTGCCTGTGGCCACCTCCATTAATGTTATGCCCAGAGACCAAACATCGCTTCGCACATCATACCCCTTGGCGCGCTCGGGATCAATGCGTTCCGGCTGTAAAGCACACATTTTCAGAGCTGATAAAAAAGATTACAACTAATAGCAAACCTACCGCCATGTACGGCCTGCAGCCCGCGTCCTTGGTCCTGGCTATCGAATCGACTAGCTGCCCAGAGATGCCGAAATCACACAGTTTAATATCGCCGCGACGATGCAACAGAATATTGCTCGGCTTAACATCACGATGTATTATCTTGAGCTCCTCCTTTAAATAGTTTAGGGCGTTGACTGTGGCCACCGTGATCTTGGCCAGAATGGATTCAGGTATATGTCGCTGCTTCTTCTCGAATATGTATTTGTAAAACTTATCCAACGATGTGTCCATCAACTCCATGCATATCCAGCAATCGCCCTCCTTGAAGAGTGCCCCATAGAATTGCACTATGTAGATGCATTCATTTGACTTCATAACCACCTCCAAGTCCATGAGTAGCTGTTTCTGCTCCTTTTCATCTACCGTAGAGCGTATGCGCTTCACAGCCATTACCTTGTCCAGTTTTTTGAATACCATTTTATTTACTGCACCAAATGCGCCGCGTCCAATCTCTCCCAAATCCTCTAGGTCATCCGATGTGAATTGATGCGTATTAGCTGCACCTTCGCCAAATTGTAACTTGCCACAGGCCTGCTGCCTAATCCGCTCCCGGTGACGCTCTGTGGCGCTGCTGCTACCAATGCCGCTGGTGCTGTTGCTGTGGCTGCTGCCGCTTGGTACCGGCACCGCTGGCACAAAGCTGGGCTGGGTGCTAAACCGCATAGCCACATTATTTTGCTGCGACGAGGAACTGGAGCCAGACGACGTGGAACCCGACGATGTGGACGACGTTGACGAAGGCGGATGGCGTATGCTCAATTGGTTCAGATTAAGCTGGTCAGGCGGTATACGGGAACGGCTAGGCCCAGCTATCATTGTGATAAGGTGTGGAAAATTGGTTATTTATGATCTACGGCTTATCAACTGCATTGCGCCCGACCAATGCGTCAGTGCTGTGTTCATACGTGTGTGCGTGTATGTTACAGCGAATATACATATGTATGTGTTTGTGCATTTATGTGAGTGTCGTGTGCGTGGGCAGTGTTAAGCAAAAAATTACTCACTTGCAAACAAATTTTTGGGCCTTTCTGCCATTGTGTATGCCTGGCGCTAAATCCGATAGCAATTTTATTATGAACGTCGCTTTATTGACGTCGTTCGCTTCTTTTCAGGTGGGCGCCGCGCCCCAAAAACACGTCGCTCAAAAGGGGGCGCCGAAAATATTTTCGCAGTGAAAACTACTTGTAAAACATATACTACACCATAACCGCTCGCCGCACACTTTATAGGTGGTCACACTTGAGTGCACAGCTCAATTATTTATTAATTCTCGAGTGCACATCTATGCGTTTTGCATTTCCACACTTTCGTTTTACATAAAAATAGACTAAAAAACATTAAAAAGGCAGCAGTGCAACAAAATATACAATGTGACCACAAACAACAAAATTGAAAACACTATCGATAAATACTGAAAGTATCAAAGACACAATTTAACAGAAGGATGTACAGCCACATTCTGTAAAGCTGCCCATATCTCTGTAAAATATTAAAGAAGCTCAAAAAAATTAAATTACTTAAAATGAACAATTCTATTTCGTATTCTAAAATACTTTAACTAGAAATAATTTAAAATTCTACCGAAATAAAAGAATATTTTATCTTTGAGCAGTGCTTTGAGCTATTAATATTCTTAATTCTGTTATTAACAGTACCACCAACTTTTAAGCTAGCGAGCAATGTTAAAACAATAAACAATAAGTAAGAAACTTACGTAAATAAAACAATTATGTCCGGCAGCGCAGCCCGAAGCACCTACAAGCTCTTTGTTGGAAATTTACCCTGGACCATAAGTAGCAAGGAGCTGCGTACGTACTTTTCCCGCTTCGGCCATGTGGCTAATGCGGAGGTGGTATTTGACAAGCAACTGGGTTTGTCCAAGTACTATGGCTTCGTGATATTCAGCCAAAGGGACGCCTACAACAGTGCCAGCAACCAGAATACACATCTTCTCGATGGACGTGTACTCAATGTCCAGCGCGCCAACGAGCACGCATAGTTTTAAGTAGAGCAACGTATTGTTATGAGAAATATACAAACAATTTTATTGTTTTGATACGATGTCTTAAGGCAAATATTTGGAGTAGTTGGAACCAACAGCACGTCCAACATTGGCCAGGCCCAATTCACTAAGCCGCATCGAGAGGTCGCTTTTGATACGCTCCACAACTTCGGGCCCTTCATACACGAGAGCTGTATAGATCTGAACAAATGAGGCACCAGCCTCAATCTTTTCGAACGCATCATTTCCAGAGGCCACACCACCCACTCCTATGATGGGAATACTACCTTTGGTCAGCGAGTAGACTTGAGCAATCATCTTGGTGGACCGCTCACGCAGCGGTTCGCCACTCAAACCACCCGCCTCGTTGGCCAATGAAATATCATTGATATTGTCTCGGGAGAGCGTGGTGTTTGATACAATTAAACCATCAACGCGACATTTCTTATTGTTGATGACGGAAATGATGTCAATCAGCTCACGGCGTTCCAGATCGGGCGACAGCTTCAACAATATGGGCACATTCGGGTTGACTTTAAGTTTGCCACGGGCTGCATTTACTGCTTCGAGCAGTTCTGTGAGCTCCTTTTTACTTTGCATTTCCCGCAGTCCTTTCGTATTAGGACTGCTGACATTGATGACCAGATAATCGGCGACGGGCCCAAAGGTACGTACGCCTTTCACGTAGTCGCCAATGGGGGTCATCGTGTCGCGGTTCCTGCCCAAATTTACTCCCACAATAGCATTAAAGTCTTCGCGCTGACGAAGGTCCCTCAAGCGCTTCAACACCACGTCGTGGCCCTCACTATTAAAGCCATAGCGGTTGATTATAGCCCGGTCGTCAACTAAACGAAATACGCGCGGCTTCGGATTCCCACTCTGGGCCAAAGGCGTCACGCTGCCCACCTCAATGAAGCCGAAACCCAAATCCTTCAGTCCCATTATGGCCTCGGCGTTTTTATCGAAACCGGCTGCAATACCAATTGGATTGCTAATGAGGCGACCAAAGAAGGAGCAGTGCAAATTTAGATCATCTGTGTAATCAGAGGCGGGGTAGAGGCGGTGCTTGCAGGCCCACACCGCCAAATTGTGACTTGTTTCAGCGGGCAGAATACGAGCAACGGGCATGACAAATGAGCGGTAAAAATTATCCTGATTATTATAGGCTGTTATGCCCATGTACAGGGCTGCGGCACCCGCTGTTACAATGCCTAATGATCGTAGGCGGCTCTGGAATTTTGATAATTTTTTTAAATATTTAATTTAATATCTCTACATTTTTAAGCTTACAAATTTCCGCGTTGCTTGCACCATGTTTAAGAACGATAAGAACTGAAATATTAATATTGTACTTTTGTTAACAGTAGTTAACAGGTGCTTGCCCTGTTGAAACAATTGTGTGGTTTGGTTTTTATTGAAATAAAAGCAATTTTTTTTTTTTAAGACAATTTTCAGTGTGTTCGAAGTGTTTGAATTCCTGTGTATATATAAGTAGATATATAATTCTATACATATGTACATATACATATATAAATTGATCTGGCCCAACGTACATACATACATATGTACATCATGGCTTCGCTGCCGTTAACAGCTGAGCCACTTTGAACTAGCTGTGAGCGGAACTAGTTAACTCCAAGAGTGAGTCAGCCTTGGCTTTACCGTTTTGTTTTCGCATCTCTGGACGAATAGCAAATGCACATATGCGACAAAAGTAGATAACAATTATAAATAATAATAACATGAAAGGTGGCACATTTCGGAACACGCAATGGGATCCCACGCTGCTAACATCACAGATTGTGTCCATGCAGTTCTGCGTGTACTTCACACTTGGCCTGCTCGTCTTTGTAGCCAACAAGTTGTCTGGCGACAATTATACATTGGATCATCTGTTCGAATACCATGTGAGTGGTATATTAAGTGCAGTGCGTTGTTTTTTTCTAATGCGCTTTTCCTCCAGGAAATACATATATATGATCTGGGTGGACGGCTGGTTATCTGCGCATTTGTCTTGAACGCTTTTGTGGCCTCTTTGGCGCTCTGGTGCATTGTGCGTCGAGCAAAGTTGTGTCTCGACTTCAGGTAGCTATCAACCACACAAACTCCGTCTCTATCGCTCTATCACTGTACCTTTTCACATTCCCACAGTTGCACGTTCCATTTGCTGCATCTGATAATTTGCTGGTGGTACAACCGCTCCTTTCCAGCGAGCGCCTCATGGTGGCTGCTCAATGTAATCACAGCAACCATAATGTGCATTGGCGGCGAGTTTCTGTGCCTGCAAACTGAAATGAAAGAGATTCCTGTTGGCTACGCTGCGCTCAATCAAAAGTCAGACGTTTGACTTGATCAAGACATAGTAACGGTATCTCCAATGTGATTGTGATGCTAACTAAGCCACCAATTACTCTAAAATAAATGATACTTGTAATTTATTGTTAACATAGTTTAAGAATATAAACTATATATGTAAATTTATATCTATGGAAATATCTGGTATATATAGGGCGCACCAGGCTTCAGCTTCAGCTCTTTGGGTATCAGCTGTGGCGGCATAAAAATCTTCAACTCCGCTGTTGTAGGCTCCCCGGCTGAGCTCTCATTGTGCCCGAATAACTGCCAGAAGTGCAACTGATGCGGCACCAAATACCAATAGCTAATCATTACTCCAAACGAAATCATCAGCGCGCCCAGCAGCAGCAGCGTCCAGCATTGCTCACGTTGTGACTTTTGCATATTGCGCGTTCAACTGCCAGCACACCGAACGTTAAAAAATAACAATATATAAAAAGATTCCACATTCGCATAAACAAACACAACTTTAGCCAGCCAATAAGCAGACGCGTCCATTTAGCTACAAACGGCAGCAGCAGCCGCCGCAGCTGAAAGAAGGCAGCTCCTCATTTTGCAATGCAGCCCAGCAGATAATCAGGTTTTCCTAATCTAATCAAATTAGTGGCTAGACTCGGCTTCCAGCCCAACGATCTGGCGAGCTTTCGCTCAAATTTATGTTAATTGAAGAGCGGACGTAACGTGCGCTACGAGAAATTCTTTTATTTATGGAATCCGCGCACACACACCGCTGACAAATTGGAATTCCAAATGAAAAAAGAACAGCTGCGCATTTGCGAATGCTCTACTCGGCGATTACCAGACAGCTCATCATAATAAGTTAAAGTCAAGCAAGGCCAGTCAACTCTCCAGCTTTCTCTCTTTGTTGTTCTCTTATAGGAAAAAGAGTCTCGAAGAGTTCATACCCTTGCGCTCTTGTATACATAGCCTAAAACAATTTCTGATATTCTGAATAGTCATGTAGTTAATAACTATTAAATAAGGCTATAGACGTGACTGATCTCTCATCTAAATAATTACTTCTATAAATAGGTCACAATTAGTATCTCTGCTGTCGATCAATTCGTGGCAAACTCAACTACAAATTCATAATGCCCTCTCGCCAAGTGTATCAAGAACTTGAATTCCAGTTAACTCGCATAGATTCCAACTTTGTTAATTTCAGAACTTCTATTTTAAATGATCGAATAAAACTCTCGAATTTTCCATTTGCTAAATTATTCAATTTATTTTTAGCAAACTTGTTTTTTTTTTTTTTTGGTTTTAAATGATTTTTTTTTGTATTTCGTGATTTATACTTTTATACATATGTATATATGTATATATATAACTTGTAATAGTTATCTTTAAAATCATTGATGTTCAATGTTTCATCAATTGAAAATCGCTTATCGTTTATTTTTTGTATTTTGTATCTTTATCGATTTCAATATTTGAAAGAGAAAAATATGCGAGAGGATGCGTGTGTTGGGGAAAGGACACTAGTAATTCATAAATTGCCCCTTTTATATTAAATCCTTAATGTTGCTGGCTCACATTCTCGTGCAGCTTTGCTCTAGCGTATCTATGTATGTATATAAATTTGTATTATTAATATTATTTGTTAATGAACCTATTTTTATGCGTGTGTTTGTTTGTTTGTGTGTATGTTTTATAAACTACAATTTTTCAGTGTTCATCTTTTGTGTAATGGTTGTGTTGTTTTTCCAGCATATTTCTATATATATGTTAAATATTATTTTTAAACAATTTTATTTATTTGTAATGCTTTTGCTATTGTTAATGTGTGTATGGATGTGTGGCTGTATTGGCGTGATTATATGTGTTTATATGTGCTCGTGTGTGTGTTTGTGTGTGTGTTGAGTGTTGCGCTGCGCACAGACAGTTTCTCTTTCACATTTGCTGCCCCTATATATATATAAATATATATACATATCTGTATACATATATAGATGATACATATAATATGCAAATATAATTAAGTTGTTATATCGATCGGTTTATCAAAAGATTTTCGCATTGAGGCTCTGTTTCTTCTTTTCTGCTTCTGTTCCTGCTTCGACTTCTACTCCTCTCTCCGGGCTCTTGTTTGTTAATTCTCTTCTCTGTAGTTGTATGTGTCTCTCCTATTATTTTGTTTGCATTTCTATTTGACGCTAGTCGGGATGATGTGGTCGCTGTGGATGCTGCCGGCCTCTATGGCTGACAAGCCTTGCTCATTGACCCCACCAGTCCGGCCCATTGTTTGAGTGAGAGCTACCACCACCGCCGCCACCATACGATCCGCCGTATGAGCCACCGCCATAGGCGCCGCCGCCAGAGCTGCCACCTGCCACAACATAAACGTTATCATAATATATACAACAAGGGTTGGATAATGTGCGCAGTTCACTCACCAAACTTACCATACGAGTTTCCATTGCTGCGATAGTTGCCACCACCACCACCGGAACCACTGCTGCGACCACCACCACCGCCGCCGCCGCTAACACCACCACTGCGGCCGCCACCACCACCGCCAGAAGATGTACGATAATCGCGTGAGCCAAAACCGCCGCCGTAACGTGCGCCAGCACCGCCACCACGACGCTTGGCGCCACCATGGCCGCGATCTGAGCTAAGCATCTCTTCGAGGAAGCCAGGTATCTCCTGCTTGGTCTCGATCAGCAGCTCAAGAAGGTCAGAGCAAATGTTGCGATTCTTATCATTGAAAAATGATGTGGCAACGCCGAGATTACCCATACGACCTGTGCGGCCAATACGATGTACATACTCTTCCACATCGGTAGGCAGGTCAAAATTAATGACATGTGTCACATGTGGAATGTCCAGACCACGTGCCGCCACAGCAGTGGCAACGAGAATCGGGCAATCACCCGATCGGAAGCAGCGCAACGCCTCCTCACGCTCCTTTTGGGTGCGATCACCATGAATACTGGTGACCGGATGATTGCACTGATAAAGGAACTCTTCCAGAGAATCGGCGCCCTTCTTTGTCTCTACAAAAATGAGCGTCAGATTATCCTTCGAGTACTCGGGTCCATCTCGTATCGATGACAACAGATCCAACAAATATGAACGTTTATCTTGATCGTAGACCCACAATATGGTCTGTGTTATGTTCTCCGAAGTGGAGCCAACACGTCCCACGGCCAAGAAAATGTAATTGCTGAGAAAATCGCTAGCTAGCTCCTGGATTTGTTTGGGGAATGTGGCCGAGAACATCAATGTCTGTCGCTGGCCAGTCGGCGGCATGTTCAGCTGCTCGACAATACGACGTATCTGAGGCTCAAAGCCCATGTCCAACATACGATCGGCTTCGTCCAGTACTAAGAAACGTATATTCTCCAGTCCCACCTTGCCACGTGTTATCATATCTTCCAAGCGACCAGGCGTGGCCACAATCAAATGACACCCACGATCCAGTTCGCGCATCTGTTCGCTGGTGTTGTTGCCGCCATAAAGGACGGCGGGACGCATGCGCGAGCGATAGGCAAACTTTTTGGCCTCCTCAAAGATTTGGGTGGCCAGCTCACGGGTCGGCGCCAGCACCAGGCCCAGCGGATACTGCTTGCGTCGGCTGTATTGCCGATTGCTTTGCGGCGGCGCCGATAATCCGTGCTCGTACATCTGATTCAAAATCGGCACCAAAAAGGCGGCCGTCTTGCCAGATCCGGTCTGCGCGCACGCCATCAGATCTCGTCCGCTGATTATAATTGGTATTGCGTATTTTTGCACCGGCGTCGGTTTATCATAACGCGCCAGATTCACATTGTTCCGGATAATCTCTGTCAGCTGCACATCATCGAACGATGTGATGTGCGGCGGCACATTCTGGCCCGTCGCCTCCACGGGTATATCCTCGTATTTGTCAAAATTGATGCCCGTGTTGCCCACACCGAACAGTTCCTGCTCCAAACGTTCGTCGCGTGGTCCCAGTTTTGTGTAATCGATGTTGCCGCCGCTTCCGCCACCTTCCTTCCAGCGACTGTTGTTGTAGCCACCCCCGCCGCCGCCTCCGCGGTTGCCGTAGCCTCTGTTGCCGCCACCACCGCTGCCGCCGCCGGATTGACCACCTTCGTTGGAGCCCCCATCGAAAC